TTCTTGCAAATAAATAATAATGTTTATAGACGTATTTTATACAAATGCCACAAGCGGTATTCCAAAAAATAACAAGTTTTAGAAGCAAAGTAAGTCCTTAGCTTAGTAATTTTGATGCCTGATTCTATGTAATGTTGTTAATACCAGGGAACCTAGATATTATATTATTCAGATATTGCCCAATAATATTCATTGGTGTTTTCCAGTGTTTGAATGTTTGCTATAGACTTCACTTCTCTGTAAATACTTCAATAGCAGAAATGCAGAGAGAAGGAGATGGGATTGTTGCTGTGGAATACACTGGCATGAAATCGGAAATGGGTTTAAAATCTGAATTGGCAAAAGCAGGATCTATGTCAATGGCAAAACCAAAATCAGGGCAAACAGACAAAATATTTTCATCATTAAATAAAGGAAATGAGCTCAGATGAAGCAGTGTGTATCCTGACATCTGCCTCAAAGGTGTTTTTTATGGTCTCTTAATGGGGACGGGTTCTCTCCCTGTCCCTTCGCCATCTACGTCTTAATTCAACCAACATCAACACAAAAACGAAATGAAATTTTCTGTGTCTGGAAAATTTGTCATGAAACAGTGATCAAGACTGCTGGATAATTCACTCAATGCTATTTTCAAGTTTTCTTTTAGAATGACAGAGTTTAAATATTAAGTATTTATAATATTATCTTTGAATTTTTAAATAGATTTTAATTTGGCATTTATTTTGTGTTGATTTTCCCTTTTTTGCTATTTTTTTATCATCAAATGTTTGTATCAGGTTGCAATCATTTTTTACATATCATGGAAATACATAATTTTTATGTATTTATGTATATATTATTCATAATATATTGATTCAAATAACAATAAATCATGCATTCATTATTTTTTCTACATAATACTTTTGAAACTTTTATATAAGAAATGACTCACTGTTTGTTATTATTGTGGTCACTCATCATTATTTAAAAATAAATAAATCATGAAAAATATATAATAATTTATGATTTGGGAATTCCTCTCTCTCAACCTCAAATCCTGAATATTAATAGCTATTGGGAATTTGGAGACATTTGACATTTTCCCAATTTCTTGACTGGTTTTTCTTATGACTCAGGAAAATATGTAAATTTCTCAAGCAATGCCAGGAAGGAATTCCCTTGTGGAAACATCACCAGGCACTGTACTGAGTTTGTTACATGCATTATCTCATCTAGTCCTCACAGTATAGTAACCTAGGAGGTGGGGACACGTGATAGCTCCACGTCACACCTGAGGAAACTACGGCATAGATGAAGAAGAGGTGACACGTTCAAGACACAGAGCTAGTAGGTGGGAGAGTAGATTCCAGCCCAGGCCGTCCGAGTCTAGAACAGTGCTCTCAGCTGGTGCACCATCAGAAAAGTGGTGGCGATCAGAAAAGTGGTTCTGGACCTGGGAGAAAGGATGGAAGTGGAATGTGCACTTATGTTTATTTCTCTCTAATTCTAAAGGGCTTTCTAATGCAGGCGCACAGCCTCTGTGGGGTACAGGGTTGCTGTGGACTAAGACAGTGGGGTGTGATATCATTTGTGCTTCGCAAACTGTACTTCCACACAGTTGAACTTTCCCTGTTCTTTAGAAGAAAGAAGATCAAAAGAACATTTATTCTCTAACTTCATTTCAACAAATTACTTTGGTGCCAGAGCAGGCCAAGTGAAGTGACAGATTGAGGACTTAGTCCATCTTGTTTCAGAAAGAGCCACGTGCTTGTGGCTGGGAGCAGTCTGCTTGCTGAAGAGGTGTTTCGGTCTCCACCAGGCCTTGACCACACAGACAGCCCTGTTCTGCTTCCTGTCAATCCTCTCTTATCAACGTGTCTGCCTCGTTCCCTGATTACATTCTGAGTTAGTTCTAGCACGGTACGTCAGCCTCAGTTAAGAATACTTCCTTATATCAATCTGCTTGTGGAGTCTGCATCTATAGAGACAAAGGGAAGAACAGTGACTTCATCTTTTAAAAATAACGTTGTAAAGCAAGAATCTTTAAAGTCTACCTCCTTCTACATGCCAGAATGCCACTTAGATCAGCTGTTAAAAATTTCCCAAATTATCTCTATGGAAATGTCAGCAAAATTACTGGTTCTGTGTGAGCTGATCAAATTCCTAGGATTTCAGGGCTTAGGAAAACACCACCACCACCGTGTGTGGAATTGTGGGGTTAGTGCCCAGAGATTATGGTTTTCTTGCATGATGATATTAGGGCGTGCATTGAAGATGGAGTTAGGCCGATGGCTTAGTTCAATACTAACAGCATGGGAACATTGCATGGTTAGAAAATACCCTATAGATGCACCCTATAGACTGCTGTGGTTTTAAATGCCTTATATGTGAGAGCCATGTATGTGTATGGTGATTATGAGCTTTGGACACGGACAGACCTGATTTTATAGACTGCTGCTGCTTGTGTACTGTGTGATCTTGGACAAATTGCAAAGCCTCTCTGAGCTTTTTCATCTTTGAAAAGTAGGGAATATAAAACCTAACCTTGTCGTGAAGATTAAATGGCATATGTAAAGCGTGCTTGTACATGCATGTACAGTGCATGTGGTACGCAGTAGTCACTACAGAGAAGATAGCTCCTTTATTTCTTTATTGAGCACCTTTCTGTATGCTGGATAATTTCTGAGGATAGTGATACAGTGATGAACAAGACAAACCCAGTCCCTTATCTTAATGAGATAAGTAGGCAAGAAACTGCAATAAATGGGGTAAGTGCCAGCACTAGAGGATATGGGGTGCTGGGGACACATAGGAGGGGATTTGATGAAGGCCTGGGAAATCAAATAGGGCACAGAGGAGGAGAAAACAGTTCCCGCCAGACTGGCCCAAGTGTCTGAGTGAATTCACTGAAAGGCCTCCACACGCGGGTAGCCCTTAAGACTTGTTTGTTCATTTGTTTTTCAGGAAAAGGAAATAATACACAAGTGTGAACCAAGTAACCATCAGGTATATTGACTTGGGTGTGTGGAGTACAATCTAAATGTCCAAATTCATCAAGCACTATATTCTGGAAAAGTAAGATATCCATATAATATGGGTTTGACCTTTATGCTCCTATCAAAAAACAAAAGCAAACCAAAAAAAAAAAATCTCCTTTCCCTGTCCTGTCTATTGCAGTTAATTCCAATATGTGTTTGATGAGTCAGAGTCATTTATTAACACTATCCACTATGTTATGTTAGAAGGCAGAGAGATGACCGTGAGGGCTGTCGATGTCTGGAGATCTTTCAGAATTCGCTCATCCTCAGTGGATGCCCCTCCCTTGTCCCCAGCACCCTGTATCCTGTAGTGTGGGCACTTATCCTGTTTATTGTGGTTTCTTGGCTACTTGCCTCATTCAGGTAAGGGGCTGGGTTGGTCTTGTTCATCATTGTATCGCCATCCTCAGAAATTGCCCGCCACACAGGAAGGTGCTCGATAAATATTTATTGGTTAAATGACTTAATAAATAAACGCATGCATTCTGTGGTCAGGTCTGCTCTTGCTGACCTCTCTTCTCTGCTTCTGCCTTTGATCTAGATAGAAATGAAGGTCGCCAGCAGAAACAAGGTAACTAAATCTTAGTGTCATGTAAAGTTAGTCCGCCCAGGGGAGGGACAGCTCCAAGTGTTGCCCCAGGGATACATGGACTTTGTGCCAGAAATGAGCCATCAGGAGACTCTTCCACTGACTCCTAGATTTGCGGCTCTTTTGAGTGGTTGAGATGACTGGATGTATTTTGTTCTGCCTAAGGGAGGCCATGAAGCCTAGAGCTTAGAGGTAAGACAGCCTTCCATCCAGTTCCAATTCCGATGACTAGCTGTGTAATCTTATTACTCATCTAAAGCCTCAGTGTCCTTATCTGTTCAATGGGATTAATAGTAAGAGTGCCTCATAGAGTCATTGTAAAGATTGAGATAATACATATAAAAGCTTCGCCAATGCTTGGCACATAGTGATAACTATTAACTTCAATTTTTATTATTACTGTAAGTCATTTACATTTTACTTATAAGGAATAAATAATAAAACTAGGCTCATGTTGATAAATTACTAAAATGTGAACTACTGAAACGTTTCTTGGTAATATCAATGTGGTCGCCTTGCAATTACACTGCTCAGATCTCCTGCTGTGGGGAACATAAGACTGACAGCCTCAGCTGCTTCCTCCGGGATCCACCAGGGCTTCACCTGGGCAGCTGCCAGCCAGTGACTGGGCACCGTGGGGCCACTAATGCAGGCCTGTTCCTGCAAGGGGTGGGGCTCCTTTAACAGGTGACTTTGGCTCAGGGATCCCCATCAGCCTGGTGGAAACTTGCCTAACACTGTGCTGCAGTCTGAGATGCTCCCTCCCCAGCCCTCCTTCCTCCCCTTTCCCCTTCACAGGGGCCTACCTGCACTGCAGTCAGAGGATCTCTTAACCTTCTCCAGCTTCATCTCCATTCCCTTTACTGGCCTTTCCTCCAGTAAACCGTGTCTTGGTGTCTGCTTCCTGGAAAATCTGGACTTACACAAACAGTTATAATGGTTATTGGAAGGGAGTGACAGTCCACACCCTTGAGCACAGAGTGGATATTTTTTCCATCAAGTATGAAGTGAACATTGTTGTAATGAATTTAACTTCGTCTTGACGTTATTGCATTTCCTCAGAATTAAAATTTGGTGTTACGGATCTTAAATTCTCTAGGATAGAGATTACGAGCCACAGTTTCCTCAGGGAAGGCTACTGACATTTAGGACCTCTCAACTGTGCAGATTGAGTTGTAAGATTGCCCTTCTTTAGGACGTCCTCTGTAGCTCCAGGTCTTGAATGTGATGTTGTGATTTTAGTCTTCGACATTCGTGAACCAAAAAATTTTTCCAGAAAAAGCTATTATAGCTCTTCAATGTTTATGTCTTTTTATAGTCTTATCTTCTGCTGATTTCTTTGGTTTTCATGTTTTTTCCCCTAAATCCTTACTTGATTATTATTTTTGTGACAGATCAGGTCCAGGGAACAGTCACCATCCGGAACATCAGCACACTCTCTTCAGGTCTGTACCAGTGCGTGGCTTCTAACGCCATCGGAACCAGCACTTGTCTTTTGGATCTCCAGGTGATTTCACGTAAGTGTGTAAAATTTTGAGTCCGCTCTGGGTCTGCAACACCAAGATCTCTGTTAAACCAGGGAACGAAGAGTTCTGCTTAATTGTTTTTAGGTTGTTCAAAGATGAAATAGAAATTCTTTTGGTTTTAATCATTATTGAAAATATTTTATAAATGTATTAGCATACTTTTCAGCCTCAGCGATATGACATCTTTATGACAGAATGTCTTTCTCCTCAGGATCGTTAGAATCAAGTCAGTTCTGAATGTAGAGTGCTACAGGCAAAAATTTGTAATGAAGTTACAGCCATGGCAAGCCCTTCTTGCGTTTTCTCCTAATCCCTTACGTCTGTTTGCTTGTTAGGTGGCCAGGTCATAAATAAGCAGTGTAGAAACTCTCTCTTTAGTTGGGAATTCTGGCTTATTTGAATTCCAGTTGCAGAAGGGAGTGACCTGGCTGGGAGGAGGTGATATCCCACTGATGGCTAGGCTTCCTTTAGGCGGATCAGGCAGGTGAGCATCTTTCTCCTGCTCTGCTCCAAGTGCTCTCCTGAAGCAGTGAGTCATGTAACGTTCATTCATTCAATGAATGTTTGTGAGCCTACTGTGCGTTAGTCCCAGCCACTGGGGATTCGGAAAGTTAACTGAGGTTTAACTTGATATGGATGCACTACTTTAGGCAATTTTGTACATTTTAAGAAGATTCTGTAGTAGTTTATAAAGTTGCATGTATATATGCCGTTTCTCTCTCTTTCTCTCTTTTTTGGTTCTTTAAATCTACCTTAAATATATTTTGCAGCCCAGCCCAGGAACATTGGACTAATAGCTGGAGCCATTGGCACTGGGGCAGTTATTATCATTTTTTGCATTGCACTAATTTTAGGGGCATTCTTTTACTGGAGAAGCAAAAATAAAGAGGAGGAGGAAGAAGAAATTCCTAATGAAATAAGGTTTGTGTGTCAGATAATTTGTCCTACATAACCAATGTCTATTTCTATTCATTTTGGTGGCTAAGATTTCTTTGCTAATCTTGTGACTGTGACGGCCAAGATAGTTAAAGCAGCCTAATAGTATTTTCTTGTGTTATTTCACTTTTCCTCATGGTACTACTCAGATTTATTTACTGGATCATGAAAGGGGAGGAGGGTCCAGCATGTAGCATGTACCCAACTAGGAGGACACAAGTGAAGAATTTCCCCTTCTCCTCCCATGTCTCCAGGATAGTTGGGGTTAGGTGGCTGCCACAGTAGAATAGTGACCATTGGCATTTATAATAGATGAGAACATAAAGCAAGAAGGAACACCATAAGAGCAAACCAGTACCTGTGTACACAGAGAGGCCAAAGCCGTATGGCTTGGTGTGAAAGACAGTTCAGTCGAGGATGTGAACATCTTAAGAAAACAATGTCAAAAGGATCTTGAAACATAAGTGACTCTTGGCATATTGTGGAGATATGGGGGTTCAAGCTCAGTCTCAGATTGCATCACGTCGTATCCTTATGGAAGATGCTTTAATGGCTCCAGTCTACTTAGCATGACATACACAGCCCTTCAGGATCTGACTCGTACCACTTCCCTGATCACTCCGTGTTCCAGTCTATTCTGTATTCTCTTATGCCTCAGGGTCTTTGCTCAACCCTCTACCCTCTTCCTGGACCAAATTCCTTCCCTTTTCATCCATCCCTTCAGTCAATTCCTTGACCTAATTCAAGTCTAGTCCAGACGTCACCTCCTCACATAAGTTGACTTTAGCTCATTGTCCAGCCTTTCAAACTTGCAAATGTTCTTGCATTTTTGTCTCCCCCATTTCACCATAGGCTTTTTTGGTATAGGAGCTGTGTCTTTTTTACATAAAACATCTAGTAGAATGCTTGCTACTCAATAAATGTGAGATGAAGTAGTTAATATGTTAAATTAATGACATCTCTTAGCCTCTTGTAATTCTTACCAGTTAGGACTGTTTGGGGTTAGATTTCATCCCAGCATAAGATTACTGTGAAAAACCTCTCATCAGCATGGCACAAAGAAATCTCAAACCCTAAAGTGCAATAAAATCAGACCAGCTCTAACCATTTCTCAAAGTTCCCCACAGCCCTGGTTTGGTTTCCTAGCTATTTTATAGCAGCTAGCTCAATGGATTTCTTCATGGACTATTTTCCTATTTAGAGCAAAAAAAAATTTACATACACACATATATATGCACACATACATAAACATATGTACGTATATATTCAGACACACATATATACATACATATTTTTTTCAGTTATATTGGAAGGCACAGTCTTTGAGAGATTTGATATTACGTTTTTTACTCTTGGAGATTGAGAAGCTGAGGGAAAAACTTTCCTGAGCATCGTCTCAAAGAGAATGAATGTCAGAGCCAAGGCCGCCAGCACTGCCGTGTTTGCTTTCTGGATGGTGTGGTCTGTCCTGAGGATTTGTATTTTGCAGACATACTGGCCTTAACACGAGAAGAAAGAGTCCTGGGTGGGAGAGTGGGGTAAACCTCAAGTGAATGCTAACAACAACTTCATTTTTGTTCCTTTTCAGAGAGGATGATCTTCCACCTAAATGTTCTTCTTCTGCCAAAGCATTTCACACTGAGATCTCCTCCTCAGAGAACAACACGTTGACCTCTTCAAATACATACAACAGTCGATACTGGAGCAACAATCCAAAAGTCCACAGAAACACGGAGTCATTCAACCACTTCAGTGACTTGCGCCAGTCTTTCTCCCTCCACTCAGGCAATGCCAATATCCCATCCATCTATGCTAATGGGACCCATCTGGTCCCAGCTCCACAGAAGACTCTGGTAGTGACAGCCAACAGAGGCTCACCACCACAGGTCATGTCCAGGAGCAATGGCTCAGTCAGCAGGAAGCCTCGGCCTCAGCACACACACTCCTACACGGTCAGCCAAGCAACCCTGGAGCGAATTGGCGCTGTCCCTGTCATGGTGCCAGCCCAGAGTCGGGCCGGGTCCCTGGTATAGGACGTGAGCAGGATAGAGTGTTCAGAAAAGAATCAATGGACTGCCCCATACAAGGGGGAGGGTGGGGTGGGCGTGTGCTGGGAAAGAAACACTTTCCTTGTGATGATACTAGTAAAAAGCACAAAGAAGCAGGCAATGCTGTTACCTGGCCACTAAGAGTTGTGAAATGAACTGGAATGTTCCACTGTGAAGACTTGTTTCCCCACCACAGATGTCACTGGATTCTGTTCAAAAAGCTGGATCTCCAAGATGTGCCAAGCCGAGGAAAAAGATGCAAGAGCAGAATAGCACTTAAAGCTGAGACTGCAGTCCGGGTGGGCTTGTTCTTTAATTCATGCCTAACTTAATAATTTTTCAAGAGACTAAAGTGCCAGACAGAGTTTAAATAATGAAATTATATTAAAAGATAGGTGTCTTTAGAAAAAATAATGAACAACCCTCTCCCCATTCCCTCTCTGTAGAGGACTTAATGGCATAAATGGTTAATGTCGGTCCCAACAGGGCTGGCTCTTGTGTCACAGATTCAAAACTGTTTACACAAACAAAATTCAGTAAGAAATGGGGGAAAACAAAAGAAACTTCTCTGAGAAGCCCTTTCATATTTATTTATTTATCTCCTCCTGAACCATGAATTTCATATTTGGAATATTGCTATATTGACAGATTCTTGCCTGTCTCTGTTTTTCTAGGGTCTATTACAGGTCCGTGACAGTTACTGTTCATTATTTCCTGAAAAAATATTTTTTTTAAAGAAAACTATTGGTTTTTTAAAAAACTATACACGAGAGGCATTGCGTTAGGAAAGAAAAGACTATTGTTAACACTGTGTTCAATGCTTGTGTTCATTGAGCCCAGCAGGAGGCCCATCAGGAAAGAGCTAGTTTGAGTGGGCAGCACAGGAGCAGGGAGGCAGGCCTAAGGGCCTTGCGCGTTCCTGACAGCCTGTCAGAGCAGGGCTGTCCAGGTCTCCCTTGGCAGCACACTAGTTCCTCTTAATGAGGGCAGCCCTGATGCCTTTTGTACTGAGGTAGATAACTTGCTCCTTGTTTGACAAGTCGAGGTTAGAAGGTTATTACAGGGAGGGCAGGAGTGGTTTTGTTTTTTTCAAAATAATTATTTTGCAAAAGAGATAAGACCGAGACAAAAGGGGTGTCTTCAGGTATGCTCCTGGGAGGGTCTGCCCTATATTTATCACAGCTCAGGGTTGCAATTTCGCTCAAATGCGTTTTACACCACTGTAAAGAGACTCGTTTTGTGATTAATTACCTGGCTTGGCTGGCCTTGGAGTTCACCAGATAATTTGCAAACGCTCCGCTCTATTTGCACTGTGTAGACCTGCCTGTTTGGTGACTGACTCGCCTTAATCACACTTTGAGCAACACACGAATGATTTCTTCCCAGATTTGTTTCCTAAATTATTTATGATGCTGAGCCCGTGATTTGATAAGAGCATCTTTTCTATCCCAATGTCTCACACTCCCTCTTCCCACTAGGCTTTTTGCCCTCTTTTCCTGCAAGCATAGTTGTCACAGGGAGTGGCCTCCCAATTGTCAGACCTGTTTGAATAAATGGAACCCAATAGCTGCTGCATACGTTATTTTTCCAAGAGGGCTAAGCTCAGAACCTAACCATTGCAACCATCCCAATATTGACAAAAAGCTGAATTTACTTTAGCATTACTTATTTTTTTCCATTTGATGGTTCTTGACTTTGTAAAAATTTAAATAAATGAATGTCTATACTTTTTATAAAGAAAGTAAAAATACCATGACAGAAAAGCTGATACTATCAGATGTTTAGAAAGCATTTATCTTGCATTTCTTTATTCTTTCTAATTATCTAAAATTCAATAAAAATTTATTCATAGAAAAGCAAGTTGTCTTTAATTATCATTTACTAATGAATATATGATTTTGTATTTAATGTTCTCCTTAATGTTATAAGATTTTCCATTCTGTTAAATAGTATTTGTAATAATTTTAATGAGCATATCATATTCCAAAAATTACTTCATCTTACTCTTATTGTTAGAAATTTGAGTCCAATTCTCACATGTATGACTGAAGATGTAGTGACCCATTTCGTATTTCCTCGTCTGAAAGTTCATGAAGACAAAGTCCATGACTGCTTTTTTCCCCCCTGCATCTCTGTCCCCTAGCACAGTGCCTAATATGTGTGTTGAGTAGATAAATGACTGATGATTTCTGAACTGGAGTTGCCAAGTTTCAGTTCAGAAATTTATGATAATGATTGTAGCTCTTGGTATATATTGGATCATTCCTTTAACTTTTTATTTTGAGATAATTTTGTATTTACATATAGTTATAAGAAATAATAGAGATTCTCATATACCCTTCATCTATTTTTTCCGAGGGGTAGCATCTTGCATAACCATTATACAATATCTCAAATTGACATGGATGCAATCCATCAACTTTATTCAGATTTCAACAGTTATACATGCGCTTGTGTGTGTGTGTGTGTTCATGCATTTAGTTATATGCAGTTTTATCATATGTATTGATTCACGTGACCACCACCATAGTCAAGATACAGGATTCCTTGTTACCCTTTTATAGTCACAGCCACCTCCCTCCTCCCCAAGTCCCTAATCCCTAATCTGTTTTCCAGCTCTATAATTTTGTCGTTTCAAGAATGCTGTATGAATGGAATCATGCAGTATGTAACATGTGAGGATTGTCTTTTTTCTCACTCAGCATAACTTTCTTGAGACCCATCCAAGTTGTTGCATGTATCAATACTCCATTCCTTTTATTGCTGAGTACTATTCCATGGTGGAGATGTACCATGGTTTATTTAACCATTTACTGGTTGAAGGATATGAAGGACATTTGTGTTGTTTCCAGTTTTGGGCTATTAAAAATAAAGCTACTGTGAACATTTTTTACAGATTTTTATGTGAACATAAGTTTTCATTTCTCTGAGATAAATGTCTAAGAGTGCAGTTGCTCTAGCACCAGTTGTTGAAAAGTCTGTTCTTCCTCCAGTGAATTGCTTTTGCACCTTTGAAAAAAATCATTTGGGCATATTTGTGTTGGTCTCTTTCTGAGTTCTGTAGCTGTTCCACTGATCTTTATGTCTGTTCATCCACCAAAACTATGCTGACCACTGTAGCTATTTAATAAGCTTTAACATCTGGTAGAGTGGTTCCTTCCACTCTTTTTTGAAATTATTTGAGCTATTCTAGGTCCTGTATCTTTGCATATAAATTTTAGAATAAGAAAGTCTATGCCTACAAAACACCTTGCTGTTTTGATGGGAATTACATTAAACCTATAAATCAATTTGGGAAGGACTGGCATCTTTACTATATTGAGTCTTCCAGTCCATGGACATGGTATGTCTCTCCATTTATCTAAGTGTTCTTCTATTTATTTCATCAGCATTTTGTAATTTTCAGGATACAGATCCTGTACATGTTTTGCTGGATTTATTCTTAAGTATTTAATTTTCTTTGAAGCAATTGTAAATGCTACTGTGTTTTAACTTTTAGTTTCTATAAATTTGTTGTTAGTAAATAGAAATGTGATTGAATTTTTTGTGTTGATTTTGTATTCTGCAACCTTGCTTAATGAGTTTGGTTTTTTGTTCTGTGTTTTGTTTTGTTTTTTTGAAGGTTCCTTGGGATTTTCTACATATATACTCATGTCATCTGCAAATAGGAACAGTTTTATTTCTTCATCTTCAATCTGTATGCCTTTTCTTTTTCTTGCCTTATTGCAATGATTGGAACTTGTAGTACTATGTTAAATAGAAGTGGGGAGTGTGATATCCCTTGTTCCCAGTCTTAGGGGGAAAGCATTCATACTTTTACCATTAAGTATCATGTTAGATGTAGTTTTTTAGATGCTTTTTATCAGTTGAGGAAGTTTCACTCTATTACTAATTTGCTGAGAGTGTCTTATCATGTATAGGTGTTGGATTTTGTCAAATAATTTTTCTGCATCAATTGATACAATCATATGACTTTTTTTCTTCAGTCTTTTAATATGCTGGGTTATATTGACTGATTTTCAAATGTTGAACCAGCCTTGCATGCCGGGAATAAATTGCAGTTGGTCATGGTGTATAATTTTTTTAAACATTGCTGGATTTGATTTGCTAATATTTTGTTGAGAATTTTTGTGTGTAAGTGCATAGAATTCTCTAGTAAAATCATATGTACCTGGAGATTTCTTTTCAAGCTTTTAAATTATTAATTCAATTTCTTTAATGGTTATAGGATTATTCAAGTTTCATTTCATCTTGAGTTTTCATAGTTTGTGGGTTTTGAGGAATTGATCCATCTCTTCTAGCTTGTCAGTTTTATGGGTGCAAAGTTATTTGTATTTTTCCCTTATTATCCCTCTAATGGGAGCAGGATCTGTACTATCTCTTGTTTCATTTCTGGTGTTGGTGATCTGTGTCTTGTATCTTTTTTATTTTTATCAATCTTGTGTAAAGTTTGTCAAGTTTTATTGATTTTTTTCCTAAGGAACAGCTTTTTGTTTGATTTTTTTTCTATTTTTCTGTTTTCAATTTTATTGATTTCTTCTCTTTATTGTTTCATCTCTTCAGCTCACTATGGGTTTATTTTTCTAGTTTCTTGAGATGGGAGCAAATATTTGAAACTCTTGTTTTTTTCTAAGCAAGCATTTAGGGCTATAATTTCCCCTTCAGTGCTTCTTTAGCTGCATCCACATATTTTGACATGCTGTATTTTCATTTTCATTCAATTCTATGTGTTTTTAAATTTCCTGTGAGAATTCCTCTTTACCCATGGATTATTTAGAAATGTGTCAATTTCCAAGTTATTAGAGTTTTCTGGTTAATGATTTTTAGATTGAAGTTAGAAGAATAATCTGTATTATTTTAATTCTTTTAAATTTGTTGAAATTTATTTTATGGCTTAGGACGTAGTCTATGTTGGTATATGTTCTATGTGCTCTTAAAAAATGTTTATTCTGCTGTTGTTGGCTGTAATGTTCTGTATATGTCAGTTGGATCCTGTTGGATGATTGTGTTGGTCAGGTTTAAATCCTTACTGATTTTCTATCTAGTAATCAGTTGCTGAAACTGGGATGTTGAAATCCCCAACTGTAATTATAGATTTGTCTATTTCTCCTTTCAGCTCTATCAATTTTTGCTTCATGTATTTTGAGGCTCTTTCTTTGGTGCACATATATTTAGAATCGTTATGTCTTTCTGGTGGATTGATCCTTTCATCATTATGTAATGTCCCTCTTTGTCTCTAGTAATTTGCTTTACTCTGAGGTCTACTTTATCTGGGATTAACTTACCACTCCTACGTTTTTAAAATTAATGTTTGCATGGTATACTTCCTTTCATCCTCTTATAACATTCCTATATCATCATATTTGAAGTG